CTCACACTCTCACACTCACACTCACACACACACACACACACACACACACACTCACACTCACACACAGAGAGAGAGAGAGAGATGAACACTCGTGCTCAGCAGGACAGTCTGACTGTCACTCAGAAGTAACACACCTTCATCATCCTCATCACCACAGATATCACAGTGTAAATCAGGCCTGATGGAAACACTCATACTAACGCACGCAGTTTCGTGTAGTATCATTTATAGGCGCTGTACTGAGTGTGAAACTGTCCCATGTAAACATAAATCTCCATCAGCTGAGTGGGTGTCGCTGCTCTTCCCGTCAGATGAAGCCCATCAGAACGATACTACAGTAATACACAGCGCTCACATTAACACACTGACCGGCTAACGGGCGGATTTCGTCCTGTTTGAGATATTTCGCGCGTTCTGTTGTTTTTGTGGTGATTTGGAGCTGCTAGCGGCTAGCTAGCGTGAGCGGCTAACGGCTGATTCGCGGCTCCGAACTGAATTGAACGCTGAACGGACGAGCGCTGTGGAGTGTGAACGCGCGGCGTGTGTGTTTGACATGCATGTTCTCACCTGTAGTCGTGTGTGTTTGCTGTAAATCAGTGTGTTCAGGTGGTGATTATCCGGATCCTGGTCAAGATGGCGGCGGCACAAAGACTGACGCAGTTCCACGGCTCACCGGCGGGCGGCGCCAGAGGACGCGCGCTTCACTGCACTCGGCGTGACCCGCAGCGGGCGCGCGCGCGTACACAGAAGCCCGTTCATCTTCTTTTAAGCCCGTTGACTCTCTTAAAGGGGTCATATGATGCGATTTAAATTTGTCCTTTCTCTTTGGAGTGTTACAAGCTCTTGGTGCATAAAGAAGATCTGTAAGGTTGCAGAGACTAAAGTCTCAAATCGAAAGAGATATTCTTTATCAAAGTTAAGAGTCAACCACGCCTACCTAAAATGGCTCGTTCTAACACGCCCCCACATGTCTACATCACTATGTGGGAAGATTTGCATAATGCTGCCCAAATGTTCACGCAAAGAAAGAAGGCG